GATGATAATGATGGATTTCTATTCAGATTAACGACATTGGGATTTTCCCATATGATTTAGTAGCCATTTTGGAACATGTTCTTTTCGACCACGACATTGGAACATTCTGTTGTGGTTCTACCTATATAGATGTCACCGCAGCTACAGGTGAACTTGTAGATACAGTTTGAAGTAGAGTCCACAGAATTTCGTCCTTTAATCGTAGGTAGGTACAGGGATCGAAAATGTTCGGCAGATGAGAAAAAGAGATGTGGAGGCATAGAATGTGTGTTTGATGGCTGACCGAAGTCTTTGAGCTAGCTGTCAACTGCATAATCTGGTCACCCTTGAATGGAAGGCTAACAAAGATAGCTTTCTTTGGTGTAGAAGCTGACAATAGACTTCAATTTTCGCCTACCATGGACTACTTGACCTATTCAAATATGATTGGTCATTAGTATGTAGGTTTGTTTGTTTTTTATTTAACTGAGTAATTGTCATGATCTTCATTTTATTATTGTTAAACATGTTAGTTGTAAAGCGGTTGCAAAGAAACTACGGAATGACGATATGATTTCGCGAAATTTGTCTTCTAAATGCCTTATTCAAACACCATTGTGTTAATGAAACCTCTTAGCACTAGCTTGAAACCCTCTGTTCCACTTGAAGTGCAAAGGAAAATTTTAAAAAACACGCAGTTGACAATGGGTCATATCTATCGTGTGTTTGTGTGTGTGTATCTATGTGGGGGCTACCTACCTGTCTGCCTAAATTACAGTAGGTGAAATTACATTCAAACCTGTGAACCAGTCATTTAAAGTGTGTGGAGCAGTTAAAACAATGAGCCAAAACTCCATCCACCCTTATTCCCAAATTGATTTTTGGTTTCTGTACTAAATCTCTCTTTTTCTAAATTGGTAACTTAGCTCTTCACCTTTAGTGTCTGTAAGTATGGTATGTACTTTGCGCCGTCTAAATGCAAAGTACTGCTACAAGATTGGCAGGAGCTTTTACCTGAACTCACTCTTGCGGGTGAACTGCTTGAAGTTGTTGATAAGTTTGTGTATCTGGGTAGTTGTGTGAGTGCTGGCGGAGGGGTGACGGATGAGATTTCCAACCGTGTAATGAAGGCTAGGGTGGAATACATCAACTCGTTCTCAGTGGCGCAGATGCATCCACTCCGTGTGACTTATGATTTCCAATTAAACTATGTTGTTCTTCGCTACTACTATTCCTTTGTCTCATACCTCTGTTTACTGTCTCTATTATGCATTTTTTCTACTTTCCTCTGTTGGTTTGTGTGCTACAAGAAGGGAGTGTGGCGACTTGAACTGGTGCACATATGTGCAAAGTTCTATGTCGAAAACAGACAGACATCAACTTGAGCCACCTATGGCGCCGTCGCGACGTTAGCTTGGCTGTCAAAGGTCGGGTATACAATGCTTCGGTGCGGACTGCGCTGCTCTACGCGTGTGAAACCTGGCCTCTCCGAGTAGGCTGAGGATGTTCGGCGACTCTTCGTGTTCGATCATCGCTGTCTCCGCAGGATTGCTTGTGTTTGATGGCATCATCGCGTGAGTAAATCTTAGGTTCAGCAGCGTGTGTTTGAACACAGTGGAGATCACCATTCATTGAGTGTCGTCATCTGGAAACACCGGCTCCGGTGGCTTGGACATGTGCTGGGAATGTCATCCCAGAGGCTTTCGTACAGGTCTCTATTCGCTAGCCATCCCTGGGACGGGATAGAAAAGGCGGAGAGGTGGTCAGTCCATGACGTGGCGTCGTGGGATGAAGGGTGTTTGTGCTAGATTAGCATTGGTTGGTGAGTCACAACCTCGTGGTTGGAGTCTGCGAGATAACTCAAATCGATGGCTCGAAACGTTATCGAATATGGCTAAGAATCGTAATCAATGATGAACGTGTTGCAATTTCCTTCCTTCTTTCCTTCACGATAATAGTTAACGAATACTGTTTGAACTTGTTAAGCATGACTGTTTTCCTTCCAGATGAAGTTCTTTATCCGTTCTCTGCGTTTAAATATAAATAAATATATAAATTGATTATATCATCTCTTAATTAACGTAAGTGTAGGTCATTTCCCATTCATACTTAGTTACGTCATTACTTATTAAATCTTATGCTTCAGTATACCTGATATTTAATTCAGTGAGCTTAATTCACTATACTTTTTCCGACAATTTATGTTGATTACTGACTAAACTTTCAGTTAGTACATGGCATTTATGTTATATTACTTATTGATTTTAAAGTGGATTTTGTCGCAAACTACTGGCTAACAACATCCTTTAGAGAAGAACCGTTGAAAACTTATAGTCTTGCCCTGAGATAAAAAAAGAAATCTGCCTTGGTTACAGTCTAGTCTTTTCCTATCAACTCTGATATTGGAAAATGTTATAATGGTTGTTTTCAATTTTTGGAAGAAAAAGTGATATTGCAATTACTTCCAACTGACGACGAGTCCCGAATGGGACGAAACGCTCGTCCAAGATTTCACTTCTACTACCTACCATGAATCAAATAAATACTTTTTTATTTAATTCAATTTGGACTTTCCTGTTGGACTGAATGCTCTGTCTCAGGTAGGCATGTCGGCTCCTTGTGCAAATGCTTCGCAAATGTCTGAAGATTTAACTTGAGGTGAAATCCAAGATACGCGTTTCTTCCCGTTTGGGACTCGTTAACTGGATATACGTGCATTGTTCCCAAGTGAGTCAGGGATAATGTTCCCACTGGGACTCGAACCCCAGTGCCTATAGTTTCAAACACTAAGACGTTATCCACTTATGCCACTTGGACCACGAGAGCTATCCACCTCTTCCTACAACGGGTATCATCAGTTACTGCATAATTCGTTTCGGACTCTCCCGTCGATTGTGACTAGATTGAAGTACTGGGTTTGAGCCTCAGTGAGAATACTATCAGTCACTGTGGAACGAATTTGCATCCAGTTGATGGGTCCCAAATAGGACGAAATGCGCATTCTAGATGAATTCTACTGTTAGTCACCATCCACTAATTAAGAAAGTCTTTTGGTGGATAGTGACTAGCAGTGGAATCCATTTAGGGTGCTCATTTCGTCCTATTTGGGACTTGTCAGCCAACTGGATGTACCTTCATTCCCCGATGAGTGATGATGTTCCCACCGAGGCCTGAACCCATTCCCCATAGTTTCAAACACCAAAGCGTTATCCACTAGACCACGAGGGCCACCTATTTCTTATGCAATAGATCATATTAATTGTTGAATTCAATTTTAGATTTCCCCATCGACTGACTGGACCGAAGTGCTCGGTGGGCACATCATCACTCACTGGAGAATGCAGGTACACCTGGTAGCTGACGAGTCCCAAATAGAACTGCGCGTTGTCCTGCATTCCACTGCTAGTCACCATCCACCAACTAAGTTCTAATTAAAAGCCCAGATATCGTCGAAGTATTTGCACAGGAAGCCGATAGACATGTCAATTTTACATGAATATTACAGCGAAAGCTTAAATCATTCATTAAAAATTAATTAATTATTTATTTAAGTCAAAGATATAAAAATAATTTAAAAGTACACTTTAATAATAACAATTGAGAGTATAAGTGTAAGAAGAAGGAGGGAGAAGTTAAGTAAGTAAGTCAGTTAGTTAGAAAATGTACTTGACAGGAACAGCAGGTCAGTTCAAGTACCTATTAAATAAACAAGCTACAAAAAAAGGAAGGTTAAACTCCAATATCTTTAATACGGTTCATCATGTTCAAACACGCTGAGAATTATGAAAACAAAAAAACACTTTTGTACATTTCCTTGAGCATTTCGTTTATCAATCTTTAAATGCATGTACATGTTATGTGTGCTTGTGGGGGTGCGTGTGTGTCTGTGTCTACTTCGGTGATATTTTTATACGAGTGGGTTTAGATACGACTTTGTTAGAATTAGAGGATGTGCTTTTATTTTTTGAATTCTGGTGCGTCAAAGAATTAGAAATGGTTGACAGTCCTCTGCATCTGCTACCCCTGTCTCCGGAGGCATAAATCATCCGCTACATTCGGACGGTATGTTGTAGGAATCGGACCATACAAGTGGTCCGGGATTCGACTCTCGGCCGACTCATTCTTAAACTTCACTAAGCCAGTTAGAGAGGGAAGGTTTGGCGTGAGGCTATGAACCTCACCCTGTAAAGATAAAAACCCACTACCACCAAATCCTCAAAACTCTAGCTTGAAGCCTTATGTTCCACTGGAAACGCAAAGGAATAAAATATTTTTTTAACAAAGAATAATGGATAATAACTGCAGAAGAAGTGAAAACCTGAAGCACGACAGGATTCGAATCAGTAGCTCTTGAATTACCATTCAAGTGCTGCATTATAGCTGAATTACGAAAGTCAACTGCTGCTGCTAGCCAGGTTATCATTTCACACCAGTTACCATGCATGCATGGGTAATGTCTACCTGTCTTGTGATGAACAACAATGAACAATACGTTATTGTTCGTTAATCACCATCGAAGCATCTGCACAAGGAGCAGACGGATATGTCAACCTGAGACCGACCACTTCGGTCGAATTAATCGACGGGAAAAATCTAAAGTCCGATTCAATAATTAATATCACCCGTTGCAGAAGAGGTGGCCATCGTGGTTCAAGTGGTCTAGTGGATAAAACTTTGGCATTTGAAACTATGGGCGCTGGGTTCGAGCCTCAGTGGGGACTGTAGGTACATCCAGATGACGAGTCCCAAACGGGACGAAATGTGCATCATGGATTCCAATGCTAGTCACCATCTTAATTCTACTGACACTATTTAAATACTGTTTAATGAGATTCTCAGGGTTATGATTTGTTCGCTAGGCGAGCTTATACATTGAGATGGAACTTTTTTGTAGAAATTTTCACATACATGCTCCACCTGTATCTGCAACACGCTGGGAATGACTTGTTATATGCATATAATAATAATATTTGACTCATCTCTCTCCTTCTTTCTTCTCCTGTATTTTCCTCTCATTCAAGGTATCGAGATCGTGCTCGTCGTCAACGTCCACCTACGCGTATTGAACCGATCATCACTGAAGAATCATTATCAGAACAATTTGAAGCAATTGAACAACAGTGTAATGCATATACAGATTTGAATACAATTCAAACAGCAGAAAATAATTTAGCTAATGTGCCTTACAATCTACGTCGTAAACATGCTGCTAATACTACTAACACTACTGCTACGACGGCTACTGCGAATAATCATAATAATACGACTACAGGTGCTAATAATAATAATGATAATCTTGTTAGTGCTACTGCAACACAACGCCAACAATCGTCTTTACCTATCGAAGTTCCACCTCCACCGCCTTTCCGTCTTTCACCACCACCTCCACCGGCACCAATTTCATCGAATACAAGATCGAATGAATTGAATACTATTCATCACGATGATGAAAACTCCTTAGAAAATTCTTATGATGATTTTATGGATATTGTGTTCAATGAGGTAAGCGACAGTCAGTCAGTCAGTCAGTCTAGTATTTTATATGAAAGTGTTTGTCCATTGAATGTTAAATTTAATTCAAGTAGGTGACACACAGGTGACAAGTATCAGTTGTGATACATCGGTTGGCATTCTCATGGTGAATAAATAAATAGTCATTTTATGCTGTCTTAATGAATTTGAAGTGAGGGGAGACTTAGAAATTAAGTAAAATTATAAAGCTAATAAATATGGTTTAATTTATTTCTTCATTTGATGATTGGTTGGTTGGAGGATTTCATCATGATCTGCCCCATCAGTTAGAGAACTGTTGGAAAACCAACAACAAGGAGTACTGGACAACCAACTACTTCGTCCTCGTTTTGGACTCCTCATCGGCCTGCACCCCACCATAGGAGGAGGAGGTTCGAACCCACAACCTTCTGGTTAAAGGGGCCAGAGAGCTTGTAGAGCATTCAGTGCAATGAGAGCTGGCTGCTAGCCAAATTGGTAGACAGTGATTTACGTCAGCGTTTATGTCCCAAATATTAGTCATGTGAAAACAAGATCAAAGACTGACAGCAGACTTTGCGTAGGCGGATGCAGTTACCAGAGAGATGATCTGACATTGGAGAAACAGCTACGAATAGATGAAAGATTAACTTTTAGTGAGAAACAACCAATCAAAAGACTGTGTTTGTCTGCTAACAATAGTCTATAATAATGTATATGAAAACCTATAAATATGTGTTGAATTCCTTAATAAACGATATATTGCCTGACTCTTACCTTCTGTCGTTACATAAGCAGTCACTGGGGAGCTGATCCAGTGACACTAGCCCATGAATTCCAGTTTCTGCGAGTTCATGACATAGCGTGACCACTTAGTATTAATGTCCTCTTCGATCAGTTACTGCCTCACAGTCAACCTGCTGTTTACCCTATTGGTCACAGCTTTCCACTAGAACCCCCAAGTTAACTGCCTGTATAGAACCAGTCGCTAGTGAGCATCAAGTGACCTAAATAGTGCAATCGGGTAACCCTCTGCTTGCCTATTGTATATATATATATAACATTCAAGATTTTGAACACACTTTTTCCACAATTGCTTCTCAGCTGTCTGAGCTAAGATGATCATGTGATAGTATCTGTTCTTTGCAGTGTAATTCCTACAATGTGATCTCTAAACTGAAACCAATGAAATTACCGGTATTTTTCTCTTACGGGGACAGGTGCTGTTAGCTTGCTCAAATCCATCCACGGGTCGGTCTTGTATTGCGCTACCTCGAGTATTGGCCCATTAATTGTATATGCATTGGTGGCACAGGGGTTAGGACTCTCACCGACGATGCACATGGTCCGGTGAGGTTCGATCCCCTGCCGACTCACACTTTGATATCAGTGGTCGGTCTGTGAATTTTGGGCTGCCACTCTCTTGTGCTGAAAATTCCATACTTGTACCAAAACGTACTGTGTGGAGTCAAGCTATAATCAAATAATAATGACAAAGAGAGTAATTGATGGTAAGAACTAAGAGTAACATTAGTCAGGATTGATGTAAGTTGTTAAATAATTAAAAGTGAAAGGGATTGACTTACTTTTAGGCAAACTGAACGACTAAGCTTAGAAACAAAAGGATGGAATTCCACAGATTTTTGTGGATAGAAAAAAAAATTCAACTAGAAAGAAGAGTATAACAGTGTTAATAGGAGGGGGGGTTGGTTACTTAACTGCAGAAAACATGTTACTATAGAATATTTTCATAAATTGGTTTTGTAGAGATTTTGGTTGATTGGTCTTAGGTTTGAACCCCGATGGGTGCGCCTAATGCTGAATAATCCCGAAGCTAGGCTGACGAAAACAGTAAAAAAGGAAAGAAGATGGGAAGTTAAACACACTACTGTGTTTACAGGAAACCCACACATTCAAACAGATATTTGGACTTCCGATCATCCCACCTTATGTATCAATAAAGATAGGATTGGTGAAATGTTTAAGTGACAGAGCACAAAACTAAGTAGTACCAAGGAAAATCTAAGACAGGAAGTGATACACATAAGAGAAGCTTTGAAACTTAATAATTACCCTGATAAATTAGTCAGGAAATATGTAGGGAAATGTAAAGATAAAATAAATAATGATAGTAGTGATAGTGATAATATTAATAATGACAACACCAACAATAAGGAATCTAAATCATCAGTAGTAATTCCATACAAGGAAGGAACGTCGGAAACCACCTTACACAGAATTCTTAACAAGGCAGGGAGGAATAAACGTGACTGGAATTCAAACCACCCACAAACTGAATTAGAAACAAGCTTTGTCGGTTAAAGGATCCGTCCTATGAAGCCAATAAAACAAAACAATTTAGTTTATCTAATACCCTGCCTTCTTCAATGATTGTCAGTGAGGTGAAATACATAGATGGGTCAAAGTAGTAGAACAGGGGAAGTCAGTCAGACAAGCTGAGCATAAAACCTAGCAGCAAAATCTAGATTAGTTGACTCGAATAAGATAAGAAATCTAGAAAAATTTAGTTCAGCCGTAGACAGCACTACATGCAGTTAAACACAGCCAGGCAATAGGCTGGATAGGATAAGATGACAGTTTTAAAATCTAATGTAACAGGGTGGAGTGAGGGAGAGATTGATAACAAAGGGAGCTTTGTTTATCGAATCAACTGTAAATACGTGTAATAGGAATGACTCAACACCTGTCCAGCTGGATATCTGGAAATTTCTACTACCCCAATGACGACAAATAGGAGAAGACAAAAAAAACTTTCAAACTCAAGTTTCGAAGATGTGTGATTATAATTGATGATGGGATTATGAACAGCAATAAATTTTGTTCGAAACTGTGTCATCCAGTAAATAATAATAATACTGTTTCACAAACTGTGTGATACATCTAATAAACAAACTAATATGGAATTGCTTACTATCACAGTGCCCAAATTTTACACACATATATTAATGAAACAGTTAGCTGTCCAGTACTCTCCTTGTTGACCTTCCAAAATGGTTCTCTAACTGATATCAGCTCATAATGATGAAATCTTCCAACCAAGCAAATGAAATCCTCCGATAAAAAACCAATACTTGAAAATCCATCTTCTTTGTCTTTTGTGAATCGCTTGGTTATTTTTGTTGTTCTTCTTCTTTTTCTTTTTCTTTTTACAGTCTTTTCCCATTTCATCAGAATAGATCTATATATGGAATCAGTATACAAATGTGTATGTGCTGTGCTATTCGTCAACTTGTTCTTCTACTTCTGCTACCACCACTATTGTGTTGTTGTCTCTTCGCATGCTTCACTCACACCACCGTCAAGTATATATCACATCAGTATCCTTCATTGTCAATATGAAGAGTGGAAATGCAATATATCCTTTGTCTCTTTCTACATTAGTGGTCGACATCACTAACCAACACACACACACACACACACGGATTTAGCTTACACAACACAATTATCATATACACACGATGATGATAAAGCTTTTGTTAAAATCTCAAATTCTTGTAATACTCAAATTGAAAAGACACAATGTTGTTGTTGTTGTTGCTTCGCCTGCTTCCCGCCCCGCCGCCCCCCCTCAATCATAATCATTAGCGAATATATCGTGCAAATCTTTCTGGTGAATTACATATACTACTAATAGTAGTATAAAAGAAAAAACGCTAAATATTTAGAGAAAAAAATGTGATGATTCCTTATTTTGTGATAAAAAGCCAGAACACAAGCAAAGTCGACAAATCCACACACACACTCACATACACATACACGCACACACAGAAACACGTGGGTATACACAAAAGAGAATTCATCTTTTACAATATAATTTAATTGTGTAGCTTAAAAGAGATTTTGCTATGCGATGTTCTTACTATTCGTTTATATACACAACGCTAGATCAATATATGTGGTGTATCCATTTCAATCGTTGTAGAAATTTTTTGATTGTCGGACATAGACTGAGTGGGTGAGAGAGACATGAAGTAAATTTTATTTTTATTCTTTTTTGTTGTCTTATCCTGCTATCTGTCATTTAGGCATCATCCATTCATCTATTCTTTCATTTTGGCTTGCTAATAATAATAATGATAAAACTAATAATAGACCACGATTAACCTTTGACAATTTTCCTCAAGTAACTAAAGCACTCTATACCTATGCACCACAACGTTATATAACGCTTAAAATGTGGCAAGTTTTCATTTGTACGCACACACACACACACGTACACATCTGTGTGCATCTACGTGTTTTTGTGTGCATGTAAGAGAATGTATTCCTTCGTATATATATATATATATATACTTTTTTCTGATATAATATCTTTTCAATGTTTAATTTGTTTGTCTTTCCCTCTCTCCCTCATTGTTGAGATGGTTCGGTTGCGGAGGAGATGGCGGGTGGAAATCCACAGAAAAGATTTTTTGTCTCTCTTTTATCACTATTTTTTCACATTATATATAAAGAGTATCTTTATTGTCATTATTATTGCTATTATTATTATTATTATTATTATTATTATTATTATTATTATTATTATTATTATTATTACTGCTCCCAGAGATTTTCTATAACTAACTGGCTAACTTCTGATATTAGCTAGCTAACTGTACATTAGAGTGAAACACAAGCAGCATCGAAGAGATTAACACTCTATACACACACACACACACACATTCTAGATGTCATTTCCCCACCCCCCTTCCCCACTTCCTTTTAATACACAAGTAGGGAGCGTACACAAATACGCACACTAATTATGATAGATTAACGATACATTTTTTTGGCACCCCATCCCCACCCACCAACCACCACTATCACCTTTATTTTATTCATCAGATGCCTCTATGACTTGTCATTTGGTGTATTTTTTTTTTGTTTTTCTCACATTTTGCATTTTGTTTTTCATGTAACCGATGACGGTGCAATTTTGTGCAGCCCAGTGTGTCTGTCTGTATGTCTATCTGTGTGTGTGTGCGCGCGCATACATACGTGTACTTGATTTGTGCCCATTTTCTTGATGATCCATTTTTGCGACTCACATCTGTGTTTTTTTATCTACTTTTTATACCACTACTAATACTGCTGTCATTATTGAAAGAGTGACTACTGTGAACGATTTAAGTAATATAATGTGTATTGCTTAAAAAAATTGAAAAAAGCGCCTCATCTTCATCTTATTTTTAACTTTTTATTCTATTTTATACATATATTTACAAACTCATACACATACATACAATTGATGTTACCTATAATTTTTTTGTTTTTTTCAATAATTCTGTGAGTTTTTCAATGTGTCTGTCTACTGTCTGTCTATCCATCTATTACACCTTCAGTGGCATCTTTTGTTTACTCACAATAATAGTTAGTAGTATAAGTATAATGCAGAAGTACAATATAATCTTTAATTGATCTTGATCGAACTCTTGTTGAAAAGATACACCACGAAAAGAAAACATGATTGATGATGAAGACGAGAACAGTTTTTACTACAAGCTGGTTATTTTCAATTCTCATTTCATACTGACGACTACTAATAAAGACGATTCTGAGTCGCGTAGAAAAAACAGCATAGTTGTCTGATGACAAATTCGTTTTTTTTCTTATGTATCTATCTGTGTCTATGGGTGTGTGCACGTTGGCGCATGCGGACGTTCGTGTATATCATCATGGCGTGTCTAACTAGCTCCTTCATTAATTAATTAGCACTTTTATTTATGCGTAAAACTCTATACTACTTTTATCATCGTATGTAAATGTGTGTATGTTTGTATTTGAATTCATTTTCTTAAAGTAACAAACACGAAAAGCACTACAGATAAACAAACAATCTTTCGAAGTATATTTTTAAAAAAATAATTGTATACACTCTCTAATGTCATGTTTGTATATTTTTGTTTTCTTTAAAATAGGTGTGCATACACATACCCCTTTTTCTTCTAGACAAAATTCATGTTTATATCAGAGAAGATTTCACCAATTTTTCTGTGTGTGTGTATGTGTGTAGGGTTGTGTTGTATCTGGGCTACTTTTTTTCTCTTCTTCTCTTGTCCTATGCTCTCATCTATACGCGTGTGTGATACTCTTCCAGTGGTTTTATTTTCAATTGTTGTTGTTCTGGTGTATCTGTGTTCCACTCATCTTGTTGGCTGGTCGAATACGAAGGATAAAGGGGAGAATAGTAGGGGGAGTGTGGGGCGCCAAGAAGAAATGCCTGTTTCCTACCGGTATCACTATTTCATTAAGTATCAAGAGATAATTATTAATAGTATTATTACTATTATTATGATTATTGCAATGACATTTTTTCTACTATGGTATTTTACAGTCGTGGACGTTGTACACGCGACGCACACACACACACACACACACACATTTTCATGATAATCATGTTGTATTATTGGTGTAATTCACGCTTTTTTGGTTTTATAGATAAAAATTACTGAAAAGAGCAAAAGGTTATTTTAATGTGATCACTTATTTTGTTTGCTCTGTTTAAAGATAGAAATCTCTCTGTCTCATATCTACACACACCCTGTATCTTTCTCTGTGTATTCTTCGGTGACTATTTTCGATGCCGCCACTCTCTCCCCTTTTGTCGTTATTGTTACTGTTGTTCTTGTCAATAGATTTGTCCAGATAAGATTCATGATTTCCATTATATTACATCATAATAATATTGTTGTCGTTATTACATAATTCTACTGTTTGCGCCTAACTCTATGTGCTCATAGAAAAATCATATTTGCTAATATTTTTTTTCCTTCCTTTTTTTATCATTGCCTTGATATAAATAATATTCATTTGTTTGTGTGTATCTGTGTGTATGTACACACACACACACTATGTGCGCCTTTTTCTCTCCCGTGTTCACCTTCTTCTTTTTCTTTTATTTCGTGCTCCCTGGTTCACTCGCTCGCTCGTTCGTTCGTTTGTCATCGAGCGTTCGCGTGTGTTATTATTATTATTTTAGTTATAATTATTATTAATGCTGTTATTTTTATATAACTACTAGGATGAATTTGTTTTATTGTTTTCCGTTGATTTTTTTCTTTTTCTTAGAAGTGGTGTGTTTTTTAATTTCTATCTTCTTGGCCTTAATTATTCTCATTTTATTTTGTGTGTGTGTGTTATGACTTGTTGTCTTGTTCTCCTTGATTCATTTTATTCATTCATTTATTCATACAAGCATGTATTGTTAGTGTTATTGTTGTTATAGTTACCGCTATTATTGTTACTCTTATTACTATCATTTTATTATTGATAATTATTATGATAATATTTTAAATCACATTTTATTTGTGACTTTTTCATAAATCATACATACAAAACATGAATTAAATAAACAAATAAATATTTAAAAAAGATATGGTGTTTTTAATGTTTGACGCCGTTTGAACCGAACACAGAAGCTTGAACTTTTAGTGATTATAAAGCTGACTACTAATAAGTAGTTCATATTTTTTTAAAGTAAGTTTTTAGTCAGTAGGAGGACTGATTCAGTGAAGAAATAATGATAATTTTTTATGAAACATAGTTAATTATGGTAGGATTAATATGTCAAACAGGATGATAATTAATTAATAAGATTAATGCAACAGTTATTTGGAATAGTTGATTAAGTTAAAATTAGAGGAAAAACTCGGGTATTTCAATATGCATTCACTTGCATGCAGTCACTTAATTTTTGGTGGGATCGTAGGTGATTGATAACGGGAAACTCAGCGAGGCATTCGAAGTGAATACAGCAGTAAGGTCAAAGCTGGTTAGTTTTGACATTTTCAGTTTATATACACATAAAGCAATAAATATGACTATAGAGGCAGTCAAAATCGAACTCATTTCTGACCAAGACCTCGAACTTAGGACAAAAGTGTTGCCACTTGAGGACATAATGCTGGGAGTGCAGCTATGCCTGACTTCCATAGTATTTAAATTCCAAAGAAAAATATACAAACAAACCGAGGGAGTTGCCATGGGATCACCAATATCCCTGGTTGCAGCAGGTATATTCATGGATAGGTGGGAGAACCTAGCGATTGAAGCATTCACCCCCACCCCAAAAGTATGGTGGAGGTATGTAGATGACACGTTCACTGTAATTAGAACACAAGATACTGAGAGATTTTTCGAACACATCATCTCGAAGGTAGAGGCAATTCAATTCACTTATGAATCGGAAAGTCAG